TGCTTGAGTTCCTCCGCGAGCCGGGCGGAGTCCCCTTCTTCTTCCCAGAGGAAGGAGCTGGACCTGATCACGCCTCGTACCTGAGAATCGCCGACGAGCGGTGGCTCGCCATCCTGCAAGCCAAGTGCCGCAAGAAGGTGCGAAACAAGGCACATGCCTTGGGCTCGCTCAACATTCGGACCATGTACAGAGGCGTGAAGGAAAGTAAGCGAGAAGAGAAGCGCAGAGAGCTGACGTCTCTCCTCAAGGAGAGGGGCGTGAAGGGTATCCTGCGAATCCTCTTGGCGTACCCGGCAGAGGTCAACGCGGCAAGCTATGCCCTGTCCACGCTGAGGCAGTCTGAGCGGCAGCGGCTCCAAGCAGAGGAGGGGAACGAGTTCGAAGTCGTGCAGCTGTGCATCTCAAAGTCGAATGCGCAGCATTTCCTGACGGCCAATGAGCGGCGTCACCTGGACTGTTTCAAGGGCGTTTGATAGCACAATGCAATGTGTAATTACACAAGGGGTTTGGTGGCAACATTGTGTGCTGCAAGTGATAAGCAAAGAAGGTACGGATGGATACAAAAGGACCGTTGGCTGGTTAGAAGAGTCTAAGTCTGGTGCTGAAGGCGAGGTGTGTACACGTAGACCCACGTGAGGCGCCTGCTTGACCATTCTGAATCTGCCATGCTAGCGCTTCGTGTGCATACATGTAAGGGAGCCGATTACAATTGTCCCTGATCCTCGCGCTTGCAGACCATGGAGATTTGCAGCATTCAAAATGTTGTTTTGGTATCATATTTGCATCTCAAGTGTGAACGCAAAATCAGCATGTGACACCATGCGATATTGCATGATGAGCGAAGAATGAGTGGCCTCGGTGTTGTGACAAGTGTTGCAAATTGCATCTGGACCACCACTCACTTACCCACTTTTCTCGCTTGGGACAAATACCATTTGCCACGCACTCCTTCCACTATTCCGATTGCAAGGCATTGCACGCTGGCTCTCGGCCTGAAAGTAATCATTTACTACGTGACGTTGCGCATCTGCGCCAGAATAGCTTCGTAAGCATAAGAAAATGGCACTCATTAACAGCAGGTCTCACATGTTTGGCCCCTCAGTAGCAAATGCAAATTGGAAGAAGATCATACATGAGTCCTCACGTGGTACACCACCCAACCGTGAGCTCTTGACTACAAAAGCACAACTGATATTTGTTTCCCGGCATAGAACCTACATGTACTCTCCAGAATGTTGAAGAATGTCTCAACAGAAAAAGCGTTTTCACTGCGCTGGCGCAGTGACTCAAAGTGCATGTTTCATGTCACAAAGGATAGCTGCTCTTTTGCAGGAATCCCAGGAGGCACATGAAAGTCCGTCGAAAAGCTGGGAAAGTAACATGCTGCTGATTCAATCCATTAATCAATTCCACTTATTTGAAAATTCTTCTCAAAGCCGTCGGCGGCTTACATATAAGTTGAAAGTCTAAATGTAATTTCGAATCTTCAACCCTCTCAACAAAGCTACAGCTCTTAGCGACCAGGGTGCCCGTTTTAGTAGTGAGGGAAGCTTAAAACGTTGGTCACTACGATAGTCGAGTCGGCATTCACCCCTCGACGACTGAGCCGATTAATTTTTAAGCTTCCCTCACTACCTACTAAAACGGGCAGCTTGGTCGCTAAGAGCTGTAGCATCCCTCTGCGCATTTATCTGTCCAAAAATTGGCCTGATTTGTATCATTGTGTTGGCCTACATACACATTGAAAGCCGGATACATTCGTGGAAGCCGTACGCAGGGAATTGCCGGAAAGCGCTCCAGGGCCCGGAATTCACCATTACCGCGCTGTGGTGGACCGTTCCCGTCCAGGTCCGAGCAGAGCACTCGGGGCCTGCAGCCCTGGCGAGCAGATTGTCCTGCTAACTTGCTAAGGTTGATACGTCACTCACGTTGAACGCTGTTGGAGATAGCTCTGCATTGCTGCCATCAGGCTCGGTTCTATGGAACTTTCGAGAATGACACGGAATCCCCGTCACGAGGTGACTCAGAATCCAGGTCATCTGGGACAGGTGGTATTGGCAAGGTCTGGCGTCTTTTGGCGCCCCGCGGCGGAGCTTGAAAATGCTGGGGTTGCTGCCACATGTCCTTCTAGAAGCAAGAAGATGCTTCTATAGGTCAGCATCAGGTCAGCAATTGGTGACTTGGCACACTAGGCAGCGGCACCCGATGGCGCTCTCTGGCATCCTCTGGCAGCTTTCCCAGCTTCTTTTGATGGGTTGCAACGGTCCCCACCTTCATTTCTCAAAACAACAAAGGGTTCATCTCTGGAAGGAGCCCTGGAGCAAGCTTGGAAGGTCGCAGTCCGTGGTCAGCGCGTCGTGCACACAGGTGTCTGGCCGTGCTCAGGTGAGAGCAGCTTGCCTTTCATTCCTTCTAACATTTTCCAAGGCCTGTGCTATGTGCTTGAATGAATGTTTCCAGGCCTTTGTGCCCTTGTAACAGGAGGCAGCCTGGCATGCAGCCTGCACTGTGATCAGCTAGGATGCCTCAGATGTGTTGTCAACGCCGTATGCCTCAGATGTGTTGTCAACGCCGGCGTGCAGTTGTCTTTGCAATTAGCAACCTGCAATTGTTCTGGCAATCCAATCCATCAATACACCTCATGCATTTTGGTACATAATCTTGGTGCAGGCTGGTTGGTCAGCGACAGCAAAGTGCATTGACAGCTGCGCCGCGCGCCAGGTTACAAGGTAAAGCTTTTGTGCCCAAGCTTATATCCTTCTGCAGATGACAACTTGCGCACCTGGCCGACCTGTGCACCTGCAGGCTCTTAAAACATTGCGCTCAAAGCGTGACCAATGTCATTCGATGGCCTCTATGAGTCCCCACCTCAGATCAATTGCTCGTCAATGCGAGATCCTTCAAGGATTCTTAACTGATCATTTCTTGCAGCAGACGGCAGAGATTACCACACCACAACAGCAGGAGTCGGCAGCCTCGTTGTTTGCTAATAAGAAGCGCATCCGTGCTGCAGTATCGCCGCCTTCTTCTATGGTGAGCTCACCAAACCTGCAGGCACAGACTCTGCTGCTTGAGGGGGTGCACAGTTAAAGTCTTGGGATTCAAGATGGGCCTGTCTGAAAATGATACGTGTTGGGTGTGCGGAGTGCTGACAATCTGCATTGGCTTGGAAGCTCAAATGCTTAAAGCAGCTGGTGCAAATTGTCAGGCCCATACCGGGCACTTTCCAGAATCTTTTACGATTGACAGAGCAGGGCAAAGGCTGACAATTTGCATTGGCTTGGAGGCTCAAATGCTTAAAGCAGTTGGTGCAAATAGGCAGGCCCATGCCGGCCCGGCATTTTTCGGAGTTCTTCTGTAGTTGATAGAGCACAATCTGCCAATTTGCACTGGCCTGGAGGCTCGAATGCTTAAAGCAGCTGGTGCAAATTGTCAGGCCTGGCATGCCGGGCACTTTCCAGAGTTTTTCTGTAGTTCATAGAGCAGAGTCTGACAATTTGCACTGGCTTGGAGGCTTGAATGTTTAAAGCAGCTGGTGCAAATTGTCAGGCCCGTACCGGGCACTTAGGGGTTTCTTTTGTAGTTGATGGAGCAGAGTTTGTCAATCTGCATTTGCTTGGAGGCTCGAATGCTTAAAGCAGCTGGTGCAAATTGTCAGGCCCATGCCGGGCACTTTCCAGAGTTCTTCTGTAGTTGATAGAGCAGAGTCTGACAATTTGCACTGGCTTGGAGGCTTGAATGTTTAAAGCAGCTGGTGCAAATTGTCAGGCCCATACCGGGCACTCAGTGATTTCTTTTGTAGTTGATGGAGCAGATGTTGACAATCTGCATTCGCTTGGAGGCTCGAATGCTTAAAGAAGCTGGTGCAAATTGTCAGGCCCATGCCGGGCACTTTGTGGTTTCTTCTGGGGTTGACAAAGCAAAAGTCTGACGATTTGCACTGGCTTGGAGGCTTGAATGCTTAAAGAAGCTGGTGCAAATTGTCAGGTCCATGCCGGGCACTTTCCAGAGATTTTCTGTCATTGATAGAGCAGAGTTTGACAATTTGCACTGGCTTGGAGGCTCGAATGCTTAAGTCAGCTGGTGCAATTTGTCAGCTCCATGCCGGACACTTTCCTAGGCCCAGTCACCATGCCACAATGTAATGTCTGTGTCTCATCGTGGCACTCTGATCCTGCAGGACTCGTTCGGCGCACCTCCCAATGATGCTCTCCCACCGTCAGACATCAGAGCGCTCGTGGCGAGCGCGGCCAGAGGCTTTCTCACCAACTCTAGGAGAGGCCATCGCATCTTCTGGAAGGTGGCGGGGACCCTGTGCCAGCGCGCTCGCGAGAAGCTCGGCGCTGCAGGCCTTCTCTGGTCGAAGGCTGCCTGGGATGGGAGCCTGCATGCCGCGATGGCGGGGCTCAAGGAGCTCGCGGGCACTGCAGACGCGGGCCTGCAACAGGGCTTTGAAGCCGTCTTGACATCGATCAAGCAGGCCCACCTGGAGGGGTTGCGGCAACCAGCATGCGCCTTCCGCGGAGCTCGCAAGACTGCTGCGAGCCCAGCGCACGCGAGCCCAGCTGCCACGAGCCAGGCCCGGCCCCCAGCTGGTGGTGCATCCAGGAAAGCGAGGCGAGCGAGGGAGGAACTGGCCAGCTACTTCTTTGGGGACAAAGGTGAGAGCGGCACCTTGATCGGTTTAGTCTGATCGAAGCACCTGATCGGCCCTTTGCGGGAGTCAGATTCAAAGCCTTCGTTTGGGGCACTTTTGCTTAAGGGTCCTCGAGTTTGCAACTGTACAGGACCCCAGAGCTCTCGTGTGTATGTCTAGGGATACGAGAAGGCGAGCTTCTACGTCCATACGAGTCAACCAGGGCTTTACCTGTTTTCGTTTTTGATCCCAACTCTTTGTGCTTTCTTTTTCAGTTCCACACAGCTTCCTCTGCGGAGAATGCAGCAACCCCGCGACCTTTGCGGTGCGCGGGAGCAAGGGAGGGAGCGACCTCAAGTACTCCTGCGGTGTGCATCGCGAGGTCACGGGCTGCTTCAGGATCGAGAAAACCCGGACAGGTGAGCCCTGTGCAACTGCCGGTGTGCTGGCGTGTGATGGCGCTCAGACACATTTGTATTGTTCACTCGGCCAAAAGCTGCACCAGGCCCAATCATGCATGTATGCAGAGTTTGTAGGCATGTTGGGTGCGTTCGCCGGCCTGTGTGTCCTGCATGTGAGCGCTCGTAGTAAAGGCATGTGCTTCTTGCTTTTTCAGAGTGGGCACGTGACTGTGAAGTGCACAAGTTGAAGGCAGAGCTGGCGCGAGCGCTTGACGAGGAGTCGCGGCTTAGGGGCAATCGGGGTGAGGGTTTGTTTGGTGCAGAAGAACGTGCCCTTGACAGCTGATTTCAACGGACAGCACAAGATACCTGTAACGATTACGACTGGTTAAGCCTAACCTCGTTCTCGAAAGGATTTCGTTGACCGCGAGTTAGC